ATGCTCTGCTTTTCACAGATTTGCATTTGCAGTTTATTTTTAAGCAAGCCAACATCATTCGATAAGTGTCCTGGATTCTAGTCACCCATTTACTGCCCAGATATGACCCACCTGCTGCGGAGAAGCGAAGGCTGCCTCGCACGTCCTCTGCCACCTTACGCACCACACTGGAGTTACCGGGCACATAGGCCAGCTGAAACTGTTTATTCAAGCCCCATGGTAGTTGGTTAACGTCGTAGCTCTCATAGACTGTGGCATTTGGGTAGTCCTTAAAAGGCACCTTCTGACGTAGCACAATGAGGATGCAGGAGAAGAGCAGCGGCAGCAGGATCTCCACCACCGTTACCAGGATCTGGCGTTTCTGGAGAGCAAGAGCACAGGTAATCTGTCATCTTTTTGAAATGGGTGTATAAAAGGTCAAATAAAAAGAAGATTTTTAAAAAGGAGGGTGATGGATGAATTAAGTTTTTTTTGCAGATTTCAGGGTTTCACAAAATAGGTGAATTATCAAGAATTTGACAAACAGACTAAACAGTATTGGGATTAATTAACTAGGCTATGTTTGAGAGAATAAACATGTCTTTATTAACTTAATACCTCTATAACAGATTCAATATGGCTCCATTGTTTGCAACAGGTGAGTATTGTACTATTAGACACACAGAACTAAGAACACTATAGCGTTGAAAAGCAAACCCAATTTTCATGTTCTCAATACGCTTTGAAAATGCTAACTGCACCTCATTTTCAGTGGAGATGGGTTCTGGGCATCAATTTGTTCCTTTAACACTATTCAGAATTGAAATAGACAGTTTCCCAGACAGCTCACATGCATAATGTCACAGCCTCCTATTGTTGAGTGATTGCAGTACAAAGTGACTTGAACAGTTTCAGGACATTACAGTCAATCTAAGACTTTCCCTTTTCCGGACTCAATCAGTTTTGTCACTTGGAGAGGAATAAATATAGTCCGATAATAGACATGTTTTTTCTGTTTTCAATGTTTTTAAAGTGTGTTTCAATGCATGAATAACATTTTTCATAACATTGTTTGACACCAGTTTTGTAACACTGCAAATGCAAGGGCTTTGTGTTACCTCTTTTGGTGAAATGGTGACATCATCTTTGAGATTATTATTTTAATGAACAGCGCTGGAGGTAGTCTTAGATCTAAGATTTCCATTTTCAACAACTGCTCCGCTTTTTTAATTCATGTTAGTCGTATACAAAACTTATTTTCCTACTCACTCTGTAATTCACACAATCCTTTATTTTGTTTAGGTAATGAACATGTGTTTTCTGCCTCCAAGATGAAAAAAGCAACACCAACATGTACTGTATTGCTTGTCTGGCACTAATGGAGTCTCTAGAAAACACACTTGATCATCGAGGAGTGGATATAGGGTTATGGAGCAACAGCCTCCCACCATGCAGACAGACAATTCCAATTCTGGACAGTTGCACGCATTGTGCAACCATCAAGTGACATTAACGTTAAACATTATGCAAGCATTACTACTACTTAATATATATAATTGCAATACGACAGAACATGTGTTAACATGTTTCCATGTATATAGAGTTGCTCATAAGTAATTGCCACCTTTTATCCTTCAAATGTTTGTATTTATTGTTTCACTCACAAAACTGTTTAAACACGTAAATGTATGGTTACATGATTGTATGAATCATGTCTAATGATCTGTAACAATTGGAAGAATAAATAATTATGCAATATGCACATACAGTATAAAAACTAAACAGTATATACATGCAACCTAAATATTCCTAGTAAATATACTGCCTCCATTTCTATACTTTTTCTAATTAAACTAATGTGGATGACAAATACTATATTCATAGATAGATGCACAACAGTATCACAGCATTCACATTTATTTATTTATTTGTATGATTTCTATTTTTATTCTAATTTAAATATAATACATATTGGTTTAAACATGCTCTATGTGTGGGAGGCTGTGGCTCAGTGGATAATGTGCTGGACTTCGAATCAGGGGATGGCAAGTTCTAGTCCCACTGCAGTCAGCATGTCGTTGTGTCCCTGGGCAAGACACTTGCAAAGACAAATTGCACCTGTGGGGATTGCCCACAGTACTGAATGTATGTAAGTCGCTTTGGATAAAAGCCTAACCCCACTACATTCCATCTATTGTATTAATAAATCATTAAAAGATCCTTAATTCCTGAAAAAGTTAAAATCTTGATTTACCGTAAAGATAGCCATATAAGTCTTTAAAACACAGCTTGCACATGTTGACCTAGCTCAAGTCTGTGACACAACAACAGGCCAGCAACACCGTGTATTATTCTGCATGTTATTGGGGTAAAGCATGTTTCCAGGTAGCAGGGCTTACATCATAAATTGTAGAAAACAAAATGTTAGTCAGTTTTCTGTATTTACGATCTCACATACGCTTATAATTTTGCAAATACTGTCATGCAGGCCTCTGCTCTGCAAACACAGATACTTCTGACATTTCACAGTTGTAAACAATGTCAGCACCTAATAAGGACAAAGTCATGCTTGTTGTAGGTTCACCTCGCTCCAACTCACCTTCTGAAGATAATTTTTCCACAACAGGAGTCCAAATTGTTGCGCGATTGCCATTTTGAGCGTTACACAGGACACAGTCCAGTTAGCCTAAGAGAGAGGGATGAGAGTGACATTTATAACGTTTAAAATTAGAGCTAGGTTTACAATTCAATCTTAAGATGTTTTAGAAGATTTATTAGAGCTTAGTTGTGTTTTCGATTCAGCTTCCACCAGCAGTGATGTTCTTTCTGATCTCAGATTCTATATAACAATCATTTCAGAAAGAAAGAGAAGTAAAATTGAACAATCAGCAGTGTCATGATGTTTAAGTCATGTGCAGAAACTGTAAACAAAACAACGTTTAAGTGAAAACATTAAGGGCAAAGATCACAAGACATGAAAAAGGAAAACATTTTAACTGATACATTTAAATGAAGGAGTAACATCAGTCAGAAATGTTGTTCAGTTTGAAAAAGATATGGACAAAAAAAGCTTTAAAAAACAGATCATCCACATGTTAAACCAGTTATACAGGCACATTGGGATTGTTGACAACATGATGGTTACAGATATCTTTATGGCTTACACAACATCTAATTATAGCCCATTCCAACAGAATATTTACTTTTGATAATACTGACAGTCACATTTGCATCTAACTGGGTACAGTCCACAGATGGTGATAAATAAACATTGACTGTTAAAGCTTCTGCAACAAGGTTTGCATAGTGGGAGACTTTTTTCTAAGAAATTTGTTTATAAATGTAGTAAAAACAGGTTATGCTGGGACACTCCTAATTTATACTGGTGCCTTTCATTTCTAAGAGGCGGCAACCTTATCCTGACATAAGGGATCATTGTATTTATTATCAATGTAATTTAATTGAGTAGACCATGTGGCACAAGTTAAGGCAACCATTTCTTTATTAGTATGGTCAAGCAAACAATAAGGGCATTTCAGGACGTGAACCATTTCCTTATAAACAGAAACCTGCCCAGCCCTTTTCTCATTGGTCGAACACAGCCTTCTGAACCTCCTGATTGGACAATCGACTTGTTCGTCAATCCCTAAGGATTCTGATGAATGCTAATGATGGAGCTGAGGAACAAAGCTAGGTATTTACAGTATATAACGTGCTGACTCACCGACATGGTTTCATTTTACACTTTATTCATAATCTAACGTCTCAGCCGGAGCAAATTCATCACATAAATGTGTGGAATTACCTCAAAAAAGCAGGTTTCGACACATTAACTTCCCGGTCTCTCTTCCTGTCGAGGTAAATACAATTCCTCCTTTTTCCCCTTAAACCAACGAAAAAAGCACCACAGCGGGCCTCTTTTCGTCACGGACAGTATCGAGGCTCGGCCGGCATTAGAGAGGCCACTGATGTCTGCAGCCAGGTGTTTCACCCCTCCAGTTTGCTGCCTGCTAGCGACGCGATGACATTGCACCAGCTCCTGTATAAGCCCGTGAATACATGGTGCGAAATGCAGCGACAACCGTCAACAAAACTCGTCACGTGATCAAAGTCTGACATCACGTGATCCAAACAGCTGTGCTTCCTGGAGCACTAACAATACTATTATTTTCAGTTGTGGCTCGTATTTAAGTTATATGCGCTGTTACATGTTCTTGTACAAATGGTAGTATTGAATGAGTTGTGAAAACAGTAACATTAGGAAGTCCCCTTAAATAAATAAACGAGGCATCACACATTAAAAGTCCCCTGAAATAATGCGGAATTATGAAATATAAGTCCCTTGAATTTATTAAAATAAGCCTTTAAAAAAACAAAACGTTATTTTTTTAATACAAACAAATGTATTTGACACATTTTCTATTGCTCTTCATTATGTCTAACTGTTTTCTTTGATGAAATACTTTAAAATGCCATTCGGTTTTAAGGAGCTCTTGAATTAAACTTTTTAATCTAGAATCTCAAACACACTATGCACAGTATACCTTCAGCTCAGGAGATGCTTGCCCTGGAAAGAATCTACCTTATTATATTGCACTTTGAATTGGATGGGGGACTTACATATAAACAAGAATGGTCAAAATAGATGCTTTTGAGATATGACTATATAGTCCCATAAGCTTTTTTCACAGAAGATATTTTTAACATGTCAATGTAAGAACAACACTGGATAACGATTCTTAAAGTGCAACTTATAAGGAAGTCTGTGACACGGCTTTGAAGTTTTTGAGTTATTTTTGTCAAATGTGAGAAAACTTCCTCCCGAGCTGCAGAAGACATAACATTATTTTTAACTGGCTTTCACAGGGTACTTAGTGATGTGCATATTGTGGTAAGTGTGTATATATGCATTTAGATTTCAGTATGGTTAACTTTTGAATGAAGCACACTGTGTATCGTATTCTATTACAACTCAAATGGTTTTGTCTTTGTGGTGGAAAATGAACAAAATAACACTGAAATAAATCTTGCATGATGGCTTCTTTTATTTTAACTCAATAAAAAAAATACATATTCACATCACAGGTCTATTGAGAAAACACTGTACTGTAGAAAAACATTAGTTTCACAAAGAAAGCTGCCCTTTTTTTGGAATAAGGCGAAAACAATTTCAAGTAGTGGCATGTTCTTTGTCTTTCTCCATTTATACATATAGTACTATGTACATATATAAAAACACAGGTTATAACCAGTCTGGCGTAACAGTTTAAAATGTATTGACAGTCAGACATTGTGTTCTCAGTGTCCTGAATGAGGCATACAGTACTTTCAAAATCCCATCAGGTAATACATGTCCTTTAGTGTCTGATGTTACCCCGAAGAAGGCAAAGCAAATCCATTCAGAAATACTTCAGTATTGATTGTTCAAGCGTGGAAATGGTTAAATTTCATTGAAAAACGCTCCTTCTGTGATGATAAGTGCTCGATCTGATTTAGATGGGAGACAAATCTTTCATCAGCATGACAGAAATTCTCATTGCATTGAGTACATCATTAGATTTGACTGCAGCACTTAACATCTGGATGATGGTCTGAGATTTGTATACTCATCCAGCTAGGAAACATTTGAACATCTGCTGTTCCTGATGGGATTGAGGCGTGTCAAGTTAATATTGTTTAAAAATATGAACAGCACAACTGGTGTATACTTTAGAAGATGCAGACTACTAAAACTCACTTCACAGTTCTGTTTCTATACAAGTAGACGCCCCTGAACATACAAATGACACCACTACAGTACCTTTGGCAAACACACAGAACTAAGAATAAAATGCAAAAATTGGAATTCATAAAATCATATTCTTTAGGCTTCAGATGCAGACATTTCACCAAATACAAGAGTCTTGTACCGACATATCAGAAACTATGATAATCAAAACATCATGACAGCTGTGTTTAAGGTTTTTCCCAGAATATGATTTTCAAAAAGAGAACACTTTTTCGCCTCCTAAACACCAGTCCTAGAAGTTTCATTTCTTCTAAACTACCCAACTCGATCTGAGATGAGCTGGAGTAGAAGGCGATACAACAGAAATGTTGGTGAAGAAATGTTCCAGTGGCTTCGGATCTGACGGCGAGTCCTGAAGTTTATGGGAGGTATTCTATTGTGATGTGTGTAAACTTGTAAATGTAATTTTATAGAAAATAAGGTTTCTAGATATTACATTTGTCTTCCCTTTCTTGAAAGTCTCCTGATCTTCTGGAAATTGACGGCTCAGTGCAGACTGACAGGAGTGAGGAACAGCATTGAGAACTAAACAAAAGTGCTGGTGGATTATAAACAATCACATTCTATAGGCTCAGAAACCCCGCTTTGGCAGAATACTCATCTCCTACCTCTTCTTCCCTTTCCACCTCCCCTCCACTATGAGCTGCTGAGTTCTTCCTCTTCACTTGTTTGCTGGAGGAGCCCCGGGGCCTCTGCACGGGCACCAACAGGCGGAAGCCCGGCTGGGGCTTAGCGGACGCTGCGCCCAGAGCAGTGGGGAAGGTTTTGAATGTGCAAGGCATGAGGGAGGAAGAGGAGCACGTGGATGAGGGGCTAACACTCTGGACAGAGGAGTATCCTGAGCTGTGAACGTCTGCAGGGGAGGGGAGGGGTTCCTTGTCCTGGGAATCCTTGCTCACCTCCCTCTCCGCTTCAGAGAAGCTTTCTTCGTCGCTGGACAAGGCTCTGCAGTGCTCTAGTCTTTTGTCTTCATCAGTCAGCAAGTGCAGTTTGATAGATATCATCGAAGCTATAGAAAAAAAGGTGTTAGTATTTATAGAAATATTGATTTTGGGCAAAGCTTAAACTACAAACCTGAACACACTCTACAGCAGCTTCTATCATTCATCCACATTTGTCCATGACAGTTAGCCTCCAGTAACAGGCCTAAATGTTTGTGCTGGTTTATTATGCTAATTGTTGCAACTGCTGTCATCTATAGTCACTTAATGTCCTACTAAAAGACTGACTCATACATTATTCCTCTCCATATATGGATTAGTTCATTTATATGCTTTACAGAAAAGCACCTTTGAGATTCTGCCAACACCCACAATAGAATAAAAGTGGTCCCTTTTGTTCTCAACACTCACAATCAGCATCTTTCTCTCCTTCGCTCTCCTCCTCCCGGTCCCCCTCATAACCAGAACTGGAAGTGTCCAGGCTCCAGTCCAGGATGTCCACCAGCAGCGTCTCCTCCTGATTGGACAGCTCTGCCGTGGGCGTGGCAACAAAGCTGGCTCTGCGGGCCTGCATTGCGTCATCGCGTCTCCTTGGGAGGAAATTGGAGTTACAGTGAGTCACCGCAGCATCTCACAGATGGCACAAACAAACACCTTCTGGCTGAGACGTTTTAAAAGTCTGTTCGTTACGGAGCGCAGATTACTCAATGGTAGAACTGCTAAAAGAGCAAGAAGAGAGGAGGGGGCTCTGCACATATTGACGTCGGTTAGAGAGTTATTCCCAAGACAGAATCCTTCATGTTTTTAAATCCCTGTCACACATGAGCCTTAATGGTTCTATTGAATGTATGTACAATATGTTGCAAACCTGGGAGCAACAGCATAAAATAACAATAATAGTGACATTGGGATGGTAATAGTAATACTGCCATGTATTTGTATAATCATTTGCACGCCAGTAAATGAAAAAGAAATCAATTATTATATTGTCTCCCTCCACATAGTCAAATCCCTTAATGGAAAAGAGTGCAAACCAAGATAGATCAAGTGGATTAATAACATAAAACAGCAAGATTAAAAAATAAAAGGTTACCCACTGGCCCTATGCCATTAAAAGCCATGCAAGCTTGAGAGTGCTCACTGCATGACATCATAATAAAAAAAGAGACACTTAATGGGGCACATAAGATGTTCTAGTGGCCAGAATGCCATATTGCATTAAGCGCTACATCATATCTACGTTTATGGTATGGTGTATATCAATAATATGTTGATATAATACAATTTATTTGTATATAAAATGGTGGAATGTGTGCGTTACCTCTTGTTGGTGCTGGATGGAGAGGCGAGGAAGGTGTGCATGTCTGCTGGGGGACCGGTGGGACTGGGAGGCTCCATCTGGGGCTCCACCTCAGGAATCTCCAAGATCTGACACAGCTCTTTGAAATCCATCACCTTGTGGAGACCATCAAATAATAAATCAATCAATCACAATGAGCTACAATTCTTAAAAGCTTGTTCCTATACCTGAAATAAATAATGAAATACCTTTTCTTTGCTGATATGCTGGTAGGCGTCATCTTCAAAGCGTTGCTTTACACCAGTCAGAGATACATGCCTGTAATCTTTGGGAACGTCCGGGCTAAAACTGTGAAGAGAGAGAGAGAGAGAGAGAAACAAAGAGAGATTACTTGTTTGAGTTTGATCCACTTTGCTTGCTGCATCAGCTTAATCAACTCTTGGGGACAAATCTTGTTACCTGTCCATTTGAGAATTACAGTTTGTCGATACGATGCTCACCTATCAAAGTGACTCACCCGAGGCACGTTTCTGTGACTCAGTGGGTGACTCACTCATGGCTACATACACACTCCATCCTCCCCCGCTCCCACACTTCCAATGCCTCCCACTGTCTCTTATGAGTCTGCAGCTCTCTGAGGGCTTCATGTTTGCTTTAATACCATAATGGCCATCCATCGTCTTGGTCACCAGACATTAGACACAATCTTATATCTAATCAATGTGGCTATACGAGCGTGCTGAAAACAGACTACACGTCACCAATCAATTCTTGTTATCTCTTTCCATGGAGGAAAACATGATGGAGCACGAGTCCTGCGTGAGCCATAGTCAGGAAATTAACACTCATTTTGTATCAATTAGACTTTAATATATTTATGTTTTTCCCCAATTAGGATAAAGGCTTGAAAAGGTGCTGTACAAGGAATAAGACAAACTAATTATCAATCCTTTTTACATTTTCCTGAAATATATAGCTTCTTACAAGTTGTCTTTTGAATGTTCAAGAGGCTCACAAGGAAATAAATGTTTGGAACCACTGTGTTGAATCAGCCTTATCACCCATTTTACTTACCAAAACACCTTCACAGTATTATTATTGCTTTGACCTTTTGAGCAGCATTTTTCTTTCCCTGCCGCATAGCAATGAAAATATAGAGTTCAAACTTTCCTTAGCAACAATGGCAGTTGGCTTTTGTGTGGACTGAATGGATGATTAAAGCACACTTTTGATCTGCAGGGGATTTCACAATAACAGCCGCCTCAAAATGTAACCCACAATTTACTGCAAAAATATACAACACAAGACAAATACTGCCAGTGTAACCAACAACACCTTATTTGTGAAAAACAACTAAGCTGGCCGGATAATGACATGTTTGGAACTCTGCCGCGTGATCAACTGAGAAACATAATGCGCCAATCAGCACCAATTTAATCTGCAAACCTGGCTAACCAAATGCATAGCAACAGGAGGGAAGGTGCCACCTGTTGCATTTCCTCAAAGGATGAAATATGTTCATTAAAGTTTGATTAAACTGATTTCATTAGTCACAAGTAGCTATTTATCCTTCAGAGGGCACACCAGAAGTGTTTTTATGTACCCTTTAAGAATACAATTGCTATACTGGCTTTCCTTTTCAAAAGGTCACGATAAAACAGATGTAATTCCTATTAGAACTGATCTCATTGATGCTTCCCTGGGACTGAATTAAGGAAAAGGACTTGTTCTGGATGTGTCTGAATGTGACCAGACAGACTGGGTGATGGGTGATATTTTCTGGGATCGATTCAAACCACACACAGTAAGAAGCTTACCATTTGACATAGAGCAGCACAGAGAGGGAGGCGAGGTCTTGCTTGGAGAATCCTGTGTAGTCAACCAACTGGCTCGGCCACAGGGGAGCTGCAGAGGGACAGACGTACGTTTAGGAGAACATAAACATTACACTCAACTCCAGCTGTAAATCCTATTAGATGGGAAATAATATTTCCATTACGTGTCAGTGTTTAACAATGCTTTTCAAATAGGTGTGTGTTTCAGTGAGTGTTATTACCATAGTGATGTAGTGCTCGTGTAAGCAGTAGTGCAGCACACGCCAGCTTGGAAGGCGGTGGTGTGGCGAGAGCAGAGTAGAGCAGCGACAGCTCGCAGACGTAGCTGAACATGTGCATGGTCCGTCTCTCCAGAGGGAGCAGAGACAGCAGAACCTCACCGTAATCCAGCAGAGTGGGACTCTGAGGGAAAGTGTAAAAAAAAATATCACATTTAACATCTGAATTTCAGTGCATAAAATACTGTTAATGAAATTAGTATACGTGTTGTTCTTACCCTTATCTTTCCCTCCAGCACAGAGACGACCTCGCCCATCATTCGGACCAGGTCCTCGTATTTGTACGTGTTGTCTGTGAGCCAGACCGCCTCCCGTATGGTCAGGATTTCTTTACTGACGTAGCTGAAAACAAAAGAACCAAACATTGTCAAAATGGTTAGAAAGGAATGTATTTGAAACCTTAAGTAATTGCATTTATTAAAAAATAAAATACAAATCTGGATCATTACATTACACTACATAACCCCAAATGTATCAACAATTAAATTAAACATTTCAAGGAAGAGGCCTGCGAGTTCTCACCGTGTACAAACTACCATGCAGGCAATTCCCAATAACTGGAGGCGAGCCTTGGGCACAGAGCGCAGGGCGAGGTAACGATCAACGCAGCCCACCGTCACATGCAGCGTCAGGCTGGAGAAATCCTTCATGGTGGTCACCTCCACGAGCCAGTCCACCAGGATGTACCTGGACAGGCAGAGAAGCAGAAATTAATCATTGTGTGCACACCAAAACAAAAAACAGGGATACATTTACCCAGAGTCTAGTGTTAAAAATAACGTTTTAAACCTTAATACAGTGGATTGCAGAGTCACAGGGTAGATTATTAAAGTCCTTAGCATTTATGTTCTAGAGGCCAAACGAGCAGAATAGCCTTAATTGCCCATTCAGGATTTGAAATCTCTTTGTCATACCTCCACTGTCTTACATGGGGTAAAGGTTTAACTTGATTTTTTCAGTAACCACTTGCTGTCGTTCTGTTTGATCTATTCTTTAACAATGTCATTAAATGAAAGCCAAGATGATCAAAACACAATGAGTCATCGCCATGACTAACCAAATTCAATAGTCTAGAGAGATATTAATGACCAGCAGACTGTAATCATTCCAGTAATATTATGGTATGTTCCTCAATACCTCATGGTGTCCTTGATGTCTCGCCTCAGGACGCCCTGAGTGCAGCGTCGTGACGCCGGGTTCGGGGAAGTGAAGAGCTGAGCCACCAGGTCCGAGCAGGCCTTGGACTCCAGACCCAGAGGATTCCCACTGCTGCACACTTTAGCCAGAGACAGCTGAGGAAAGAAGACACATGTTTGAGATAAAGGTTTCAAAATGGCTTGACAGCTTGTTGAATTGGAGCACTTTCAACAACAAGGTTGAGTACTGCCGTAGTTTGTGGCTGTGATTGCACAGCTTGTGATTTGGTTGACTCATATTTTGGAGGTTCAGTGTTGCAGTTTGGGCCAAATTATGAACAAAAAAGAAAATCGTCATCCAAATGTCAAGCCCTCTTGAGACTGCCTGATAGTTGTTCAATAAGAAAAGCTTCAAACTCTGAACAAATGGAGGACTGGGAAATAGAAGAGAAGTAAAACAAAAACATGTCATGAAAAGCTCATGACAAACACTGTCTTTTATATCATTACAGTGAACAAACCAAGGGCAAAAGAGACAAAAGACTGACTGAATAAGCACATAACAAATAAAATCCACTGCTGCATCATTATAATGGCATTGTTCTGTCTTCAATCCCACACACCTGTGCCTCCCAGCATCCTTTGCCGGCATAGTCCCTCAGGGTTCGGATATACTGGAGGTACCTGCCTGGATCTGCCATCTGGAATTAAACCACAAAACAGTTCATAATTATAGTTTGTTTGACCTAATCAAAAAAAAATGTATAATACTCAAGAGATATTTTGCTTAATGCAATAAACATGGAAACTATCAATGTAATCAACTCTAATGCTTGAATCAGGGTTCATACACTTTTTCACCAATGATTTTCAATGACTTCTCCATGACCTTTACTTAATTTTCCATGACCAAAAAAATTACTCTTTCTCAGCGGTACCACATGGAACAGGAAAATAAGGTCTGCATATGAAACATGTTGTGCCTATCTAAAACAAATTAAATAGGCTTACTAGCTCCTACACGCTAAAGCCACTAAAATCTCTCACCAGCAAAACACCTCGTCAGTTAAATGCCATTTTACGTTTCATTACTATACGATACAGTATTTATTATCATTATAGTATTACTATTTCGGCGATTAGCTAAAATATAAATTATATTTGATGCAACTTTAGTTAAATTTCCATGACTTTTCCAAAACTTTGGGAAAAATATTGTTTTCCATAACTTTTCCAGGGCCTGGAATTAGCATTTTGAATTTCCATGACTTTTCCAGGTTTTTAATGACCGTAAGAACCCTGTTGAATGAACAATACTATAAACAAATTAGGAAGTGCTTCAGTTTGACATGGATAAACTGTACAACAGCTTAAAAAATAAGGTCAATATATCAAAAATAAATCCTCACTAAAAAGCTAAATGACGGATTTGGACTCACAGCTGCTTTCCGGTTGTGTTCCCACAACATGTAGGAGCTCTGCAGACAGCCAGACTTTGAAGACTCCTCCAACATAGATATGGCCTCCTTGCGTCTTTCCTCATCCTATAAAAGGTAACAAAGTTCCAGGTGTGAAAAACAAACAAGAATTCCATAAAAGCATTTATATGTCATTTGTCATATCAATAAATAACAAAGCACACAGAGAGTACGAATAATTGACAGAGGCTGTTGTTTAAAGGAAAATAACAATTATCCATCTGTGCTGTTATGAACTAGTCGGACAGCCCCCCGTCCCAACAGGGCAAAACTATACACTTTGATGAAAGGCCAATAGAAACGGGGCCAACCACACCCGGACAGAGGTGTTTAGATTCAGTCTCACTCTCTCACTCACTCACTTGAAAGAGCTGCAAAACTCTGGCCAAACAGTGCAGCAAGGGTCCTCTCTTCTCCTGTAGGGAAAGGAAAATATATTGATGAAGATTAGAAATAATTTGCATTATTTTCCTTATTAATACACTTTAAAAAATATTTTAATTAGATTATCCATGTTGTTATAAAAGCAGTGTACATTTGTGTGTTTTAGCCATGACATTAATTCCACTGTGCAATAAAGGCCTGGTTTCTAAGCAAAAACAATAACCTTGGATTTTAATTGCTTGAAGAGAATAATAATCTGATTTTGCTGATGCATTTACAATATTATGACCGTCATTACTGCTGACCTCAACGTTGCATTAAAAACAGAAAAGCATTAACATGATATATGCTTCTTAGTTGTTGACACAGGCTAAACAAACTTGCAGCTCAATTGTCCTTAAAGTGGACTTATCATGCTATATTTGAATATTATAGTATAGGATCATACCTATATAAGGCATATTTATACTTTTTTTTTTTCAAAATACCAAACAGATCATGCTTTTTAGCCATGCCTCATTTTGCTCAATTTGACATTTTTTAGCTCTGTTTTTGCAAGGGCAGATTCTGTGAGAACAGCACCATCTACAGGCCTGGCATATGTACTACAGCGTCTCCAGCGCTTTCGAACGGCAATGGCCGTGGCTGTCTCCTCCTGATTGGTGGAGTTGGCCCAATAGCCGTAGCGCCACTGTCCTGACGTCAGGACAGTGTTCAAATCTGGATCAGTTTTTATCAGATCCGTTGCAGCCCCTTTTTTAGAGATTTGGGTATGGAGGAAAATAGAGAGGGTTGTGTTTTCTGACACTTGGTGAGTTCCCTGGAACACCGGGGACACATATTCATGTATAAAAGACGTACAAAAGTGCATTTTGCATGATAGGTCCCCTTTAAACATTGGTTGAAAGAGAAGCACATTTTTCTTGTGCTCTTAATTTGTAAGACCCAAACCTACCGCGTTATTGTCACACTCAGCCTTGAGACGGTCGAACACCACAGCTTTACAGCAGCTGCCGGTGGGCGACCATGGTGGACGGATGAACACCCAGATGAAGGGATCTGTGGTGGGAGAGTGCAGACTCTCTGCCAGGCTGAAGAAGTGGGAGGCCTTGCGACCACATACATCCGCTCGCCCCTCATCACTCAGCAATGCTGTGGAGAGAAAAGGCCATGAGCAGTTATCACCTGAAGCAATCATCAAGTGGGTTTCATCTGCCACAATTACACTTGACCTTTTGTTTAATTTGAATGTATTTCTTACAGTTGTGTATTGCTTAACTTACGTCCTTCATTGTACAAAAACGCGATGCCTAGCTTCACAGCAGCTTCAAAATTCCCTTTCTCGGCAGCTCTGAAAGAAGAGAGATGTTCCAGGTAAAAATTCCACAAAGGGGAAAAAACACATCAGTTGTTTTGTCGCATTCTATTTGATAGAAGTAACTGTACCTTTCAAAAAGCCACAAGGAGCTAGGGGATGGCCAAGTGTCCCTGAAACTGACCCTGGCCCATACACTGGAGTGCTGGTCAACAATGTCCCGCAGATGGGAGTGAACCTGTAACAGAAGCCAGGACAATTAGTTAATCAATAAATGAGTCATCTGACAAACAAAATCAGGTGGTCACAAGATGCCCAAGCCCATACAAATCTTGGCACATGCATGCTAGAGTTTGTGTGTTAGTGTTACATTATGTTTACTCACTGCTCTGACAGACAGCAGGTCTTCAGCAGAGAGGCACTGGAGCACACAGAGGAGGACCTCTTCAGGTAGAGACAGCAGGGTTAGGGCTGGAGTTCGCTTACGGACCCGCTTCCGTGCCGGAATCGAGAAACATTTTGGACAACGGCAGTGGACTAGTGAGAGAAAAAAGGAAATTAAATGTTAGATATGTCATATACTTGAACAAAAACTTAAACAGAAGTACACACACAATATCAACCCAAAAGCATTTCACACCCCTGTGCTGGACTCACCAACACATTCCCACTATAATGTCAAACAAATATTACACTTAATTTAAAAGCAGGCCAGTTGGTATGTTTGCAGATAGTCACATAAAAGGTGAAAGTTATGGCTCCACATTCAAAACGCCTTAACATCTGCGGGTGGTCTAGTCTAACCCTCTGTTTTAATACAGAAATTATTGAATACATGGATAACCTTACAACGTTTCAATATAAGGATATAACATTATAAAGTTACGTGTTGAAAGCAGACCGTATAGCTAACGTTATCTAACGACAGTGAACTCAGCATAATACTGGGAAAAGTCAAACCAACTGAGCGCCCAAATTTCCCTCCTGTGCTTCAAATGCAACTACCGTTAAGTAACGACCAGGTTTCACGAAGTTTAACATTACATTACCGTTTTTAATTACCACAGACTGGTACAATACCAGGGAGAGACACATTGTATTTAATATTGTTAGCATTAACCCATTTGAACTATAGTTAGAGTCACACAGAAGAGGAATCCGTGGCTAACGTTTGAGTTGGCTAGTGGCTAATAACCAGCGCTAACGTCAACTAACCATGTCAAATTGCAAGAATTTAAAGCAGCTTCAAAACCACTCACTATACAATACGTTATGACAATATTTCTGGTAGTAATAGCGAGTTTTGGTTGACTTTAGTTACTTACCGCCCGCTTTCATGGCAAGTGTAGTGATCTCTTCTTACAGTGATGTAGCTACAGCACTGAGAAGTGAATTAAACGTTCCGGCGATACTAGCTAATGTTACACAAATCAAACTCGCAGACTATTAACACCCTGAAAATATGATATACAGATGAAGAACCCTGCCCACTGCTTCTGTTGTGCTGTGGTGGTGACTAATATCGTAACAAGTTGTTAGCTCTTTCCTGAATTCAAATTCAAGCACGAGTACTTACTTCTTGGCCCCGCCCCCAAAGCTACTCTAGGACCGCCCGCGCCGACAGTTTAAACACCACGTTCAATCTAATTGGTCAGAACTGTTGACGCCTATCTACTAACAATAAGCGATTTCATTGGCCAGCGTGAATAACAGTTGCAGCGATTGTTCAGGATTTATAAACTGTAAATTATCAGAAGATCATTGGACAAGGTAATGCCATTTCGAACTACGCGCTTGCCAGTGGAAGTATATCATTGGTCAACCTTATTATGAAGACCGTCCACAAACCCACCCATTTACCGTAGATCGTGGGAAATGTAGTTAAACAGGAAATGCCGTATTAAAGGTACGCTGTTTAAAGGGACAGGTGCATAGTCAGATCCAGAGGTGTTTTTGTATTATCACAGTATCAAATTACTTTACTACAACAAGCAGAGAAAGTTATTTTTAGACTGTGTCCTGGTGACACTTTTATACTTCAAACAAATCTCTCGTTTTGTGTTAGTCCTGGGCTCAATGAGAGATGTTGGTATTTACATTTGCATTTTGTACTGTTTTAGCCTCACCAACTAACAAACCTCTTGAGTAAAATCACAATATTTAACATGTCTTTTATTCAATAAACTGTTTAATACATTTGGTCAATTGTTTCATATTTTATCTCTCTACATTTTGTATTATTGTTAGAAAAAGCCAACTCTACATTCTAATTGTTGTAAATCAATTCTGATCAATACGTTGTTATATAGAAGATATTTAATGTTAAAAGCTGAATCCATATAATTCACATATTACAGAGGACTTGACCTCAACAAAGGACATGTTTGGTTGTACCTCTTGCCCTGGAAGCAAGTGATAATACAATTAAATAGTTATTTCTGTCAAATTAAAGACAAGGAATTACATCGTAAATTCTAGCCAGATGCACTTTGGTGCATTCGTAGTCCGAGGTACAGGATAAAGGAGCAGGGAAATGCATATCCAAATCAATTTTTAGGATGCTTTGATGTTATAGGTTAATCAAGAGAAGTCGATAGTTAACGTAAGTAAGTGTGAGGCAAAGGTTAAGTGAAAATAATAAAAATGTAGCAGGAACACACAAAATTAATTATTTGTTTTTGGTTCAACGAGCATGTTAAAAAAAACATGACGTTGAAGTAATTTCTCTCACTCACACACAAACACAAGCACACACACAGATCAGGAACAAAAGCAACTCAAGCAGCAGTTTAGTTCTGCCTTTGACGACAGCTGACTTTGAGAAAATTGCAGAAATGAAAGGATAATTAAGACCATTGTTTCTGATGCCCATTGTGATTAAATAGATTACTGTCTTGGATGAATAGTGTCCTCTTCGTTGCCACTCTTTGGTCATAAAGGAGCAGAGTAGACTACCAGAAGAAATCATTTGTTCCTTTCAGGCTATACTATTGATCAGCACTTCAGTCAATCTTCTACTCACCTACAAATGACGAGAGAATTTCCAGCACTTAATAGTGTTCTTTGAAAAGAAGAGAACGAAAGAGAATGAAGAAAATAGTTTTCTTTGTTTAAAACAAACAGTATATTTTCTATTAAATATACCTGAATAAACAAAATATATGTCTGCTAAATTGCTCTGTGTTTATTGAAGCGTGTAATTGTTGCCTCAATCTGGAGCTTTTGTATCAAATTATCTAGTAGCAGAATGACCTCAGACGGGGCAGACACTGTGACATCCTTAATTTGATGCAGTTACCGTTTCCATAGAAACTCCAACCATTTTACTCAGTAATACACAACGTGGCTAGTAAAGGCTAGGGAGAAGCGAGCGGTTGGAGCATTTCAACTACATTTAAAATAATTACAGAAATAAAATCATGCACAAAGTGCTCACAAAACTGCGGGGTACAAGTCGTCAATTTTGTTCACTTAGCATTCAAAGATGTGCCGATATAAAGCTGCTGCCTCCCACAGGAAGTAATTGTGTTTGATTCGAGAGGTAGATGGAAAGCAAAGACTTTACATATTCATTAGAGCTGCCACGATGCAGCAGGGTATTAGCTAATGAAACATAGAGCAGAACACTTTATGAAAAAAAAGCTTTTGTGTATAGAAACATTTGTTGACTGACCTTTGAGATAGAAAGAGAGGGAGGAGATTGAAACAAGATGGAAAGGGGGGTCATGAGAGTATATAGAGAAAAAATGCAATATCTTTTTATCTGTTAGTATTTGACAATGTCTCATTATGCTCATCCAGAAATATAAAAAAGATCAGTGTTCAGTGAGTGTGGCAGTCTTCCCGTACTCTCGAGTACCTGCAGGATCAAATCTGGCTGTGATTTGATTTGACTGTCTAGCCAGGCATGCGTGATTTCCCTCCACACCTGGCTGTCTCCAAAACAGCTTCCGTAATATCTGAAGCAAATTTAAATGTAACTCAATACTAATAAAAAAGTATAATTTAGAGCCAAGAGCAAGAAGTGACTAATTAAAAACAGAAGACAGAATTGCCTATAAAAAACACAAAAACATAACGAAGTCATATTGCTCAAATCCAGAACAACCTAACGTCTTAGTGCATGTTTTTCTGGCTTTGCAATTTAAACTGATGTCAGTTCTGTTTAATAAAAGTATGATGAAAGCCAAATAGTGCTAAATACTTGGGTTTTAAACCAAATTCTGGAGATTGAGAAGAGGATGAGTTGATCCAATATGGTTTCCTGCAATCTGTGCTGACCCTATAGCATCCAACTGACCACTTCCACTCCATCTGCACTTTGCCCTCTCCACCCCTTTATCCAGACTTTGACACTGTTTCCTCCACACCCACGGCCGTTTCCCAGCTAAGTTACCATGGATGATCAAATTAGGTAATAAATACAAAATAAACTCCCAGTGAATTGGCTCGTGTTTCAATAACAAGCTGAGTACGTCTGGCACTGTTTATTTTAACATTATGCCAGTAGAGGGTGTCCTTTATTCTGCTTGCTACGGGTCAGTCTGTTTTCCTAACAACCAAAAGATCACACCCGTCTCTGGGTATCTGACCAAGTCACCCAAGCTGGCAGGGCAGCACATGGCAATGCGTCTATATACAGCCTCGAAATTTCAAGCACAGGACAGGGGAAGCCCAGGTGGTCTCGTCAACCAAATATGTTTTTTATGTTTTATGTACATGGCTACGTGTGGTGATAAGTATAATCTAACGTGCACACAAAATAGAGTTAAAACAGTGTTCGTGCATCATCTCCACTGTCCTCTCCCCATATTCCAAATACATTCGTATCTATCCCTGTGGATAACTCTGAATCATCTCCCAAATCGAAGAAGTTTAAAGCAAAGTATTTAGTAAGTGCTTGGAGGGTTTAACCTCAAGCTACACACTAGATTCTAGAACATCACAGACCAGTGTGTTCACATAACATTTATTTAATACAATTAAAAGATGTACAGATAAGTAGAAATATACAGTACAGTAGAAATATAAAATTGTCATATATACAGCACCAAATATTAGAGGGCACACAGACATTTTTTGGGTCACTCGTTGGAGTGGCAAACAGCATTAGAAGACAGCATGGCTGTCTACTGGGTGAGGGACCTATTTCCCCGCAGCAAAGAGAGGTAGATTTTCCCTTTAATATTTGAGAAGGCAGAAGGGAAATCACTTCACATCATTAACAAACAAATTCTGGTCACCTGCCATCACTTTTTTGTATTAAAACACTGTCACAATACAGCTTGAACGTTAGAAAGTATGCAACAACAATGTACTACATTGCAAAAAAAAGACAAACTAATAATTACTCTTTATGAGCAAAAGATTAAGGGCTGATTTGGCGAAACATTATCGTATACAGTTGTTTGCGTATAGACTGGTCTATGCTAGTCCTATTTTTTGTCAGTAAATAAGGTATGCTAAATAAAATTTAAAAAAGAATAATACTCCTATGTTCATTATAACTGATCCCAGTCTGAGCGCAGGGATAGCTCCCCACTCCCAAATAAAAGTAAAAGTAATGACAGGTTCTGCTTTGTTTTATGCCATTACGTGTCATTTCCCCATTTCTTCCCTTTCTTTACTTCCTTCTCTTTGTTTAACAGAGTTTGGCTGACGATCAGTATGCAAAGGAATATCTAAATGCACTCTGAGTCGCAGAAAATGTGTGGGAAAGGACCGATCGATTGCATGTCTATTGAAGCAGCTGGCCCCCAAGACGGTCTTTGGCATTGTGTGTTAACTGCTACCCCTGGATGCATAGACACATTTCACTCAGCAAAGCGTCACTAATCTGGTAGCCAAAATCAATGCAACCGTGATCAATGATTGTTCTCAAGGGTACAATAGGGCTGCTACACAGTCCTTCACATAGAACTGGCCAGACACCTTCAATTCTACATACATACGTTAATTGCACTTCCTAATTCCTTGATTTATATTTTCCATCCCTTGTTAGTGACAGAAAGCAGAATATTTAAGACAAGAATAAAATGCCGTTATGTGTCTCATCCTGTGAGACCCCACACTAACAGAAAGTAGGTATTCACAGATGTGGAGCTCAGCGCAGCTACATTCACTCATTCTCTCTGAAAGCACAAGTAAGGGAAACCCCAGGGTCATTTAGAGCAAAAACATTAATCAGTATTCACGAGACAGCCTTGAAGCATAATTTTAGACTGGAAAAGGAATTTGTCACTCTCTGTCAATATTATTTTCACTATGAGAGAGAAAAGAATCCACTTTCCTTGGCACATAGTGATAATGACCCATTTCTGAACTATAGGGCTCTATAG